ATACGATTGAAATTTTTATTGGATAGCAATGGTTCCATATTTGCAGTTATTATTTAACTTTTCACAGTATAAGTGAGATTACATTATGAAAGAATGTTAGGAGAGAAAATACTTTTTCATTTTATACAGTTAAAATAATCAAAATAAATCGATTCATTGTATGAATAAAATACAGTATGAGTAAAATACAGAAATATATTCATGTGTGCCTTGAATTTTTATTAAATTAAGTTTGAAATATTGACAAATAGCAAAATAGTTATATCCTTGACAAAACAGTTTTGCTATATATTTTTAAGAACAGGAATGACAGTAAATAAAATTATGACTACAAAATAAAAGATAATTAGGCTTATGTCGATAGTATTTCGTAGCGTAATTTAACTAAAGCATAATCTAACTAGCAGCTAGTGTTGTCAGAGTCGATATATATAATTGTACTTTTTGATACATTAAAAATAAATGTTAGAATAAAATTAGACAGAATTTTCATATTAAAAAATGGTTTCATTGATTAATTTCAGTATTTAAAAATTACTTAAAAATTTAATAATGTATATGTATACAGATAAAAAACTAACGAAGGGAGCCTTGAACTATCCTTCATCGATTTTCATGAAACTTGGAGAGTATGTTGAGTGTTCCTTCCTAATATAATATTACCCCATTTTGATCGCAGATAGCAAATTAAGATGTTAAATGTTTCTTTATGTTTTTATTTTTCAAGGATTATTTTTTTATATTTGAATAAGTAAAAATATATTGTTTTATTACTTATTATCACATATATGTCACGCAAATTCATTCTCTATACTTTTAACATTTTGCAAATATTAAAAACATTAAATTCACAACATAAGAAAAATGCGATTTAACAGATTAATTTTTTGCCATTACTTTATGTAATGTCTTTACATATTGCAGGATAAAATTGTTTGTAAAACAATCTAGATAGGACAACTGATCCATTTGAACTCGAAAAGAATTTATTTTCTTTATGAATTAGCATAATTTGTTCGAAATGAACTTAAAAAAAAACTCCTTTCCGATTAACAAAGGACTCCATAAAAATATTTCTTACAAAGTTAAATTAAAATTAATTTAAAGAAATCCTTTTTCTATTCGTAATAGGTTTGAAAAAAATTCTTTTTTGGCTTGGTCACAATGTACTTGTACAAAATTATTCCCATTATAAGTCATGATCTGCCGCCACTAAAATTGTATCGTGCTTGAGTGATTGGCGTGATTGCTGCGAGCGTAATAGAAATTAGTTTTTGCAATAGCGTTTGTATACATATATACAAAATATATATTACATATACAGATGGCCATTTTAATTCTCTCAACACATATCTCGAAAAATATGGAAGATAAAAAAAATCAATAATATTTAATAGAGTTCTCGAAAATCAAACAATTATTAATTAGCGGGCAATGAAAGCATTTACAAAGCGGTATTTGCGCAATACATAAAAATATATTTACAATAATTTTACATTACTTGTCGATATAATATTCTTGGACATTTCAGTTTACTTTAAATCATCATCAGCAATGCCATTTTCATAAACAATATTCTAATCCACACATGTTGGAGATGGTCTCTGCGTTCGACTCCTACTTCTTAGTTACATACTCCTACTTCTTAGTTGAGAAATGCCATTATTTCTTTTCATTATTTAATTAAATGAATAACCTCCGCCTTAGCAGATCATGTAATTAAATTACATATTTGACTTCTATATGGATAGTATCTTAAATAATATATTTATAATTTATTTTCTACTTATTGTAACATGTGTTGCGCTTCGAACTGTGATCTGCTAAGGTGGAGATTATTCACTTGATTAAACAACGAAGAGAAGTAATGACATTTCTCAACTAAGAAGTAACAGTATACTCATTCTTTATTGAACGCAGAGATCAACATGTGCGGATTGAAATATTGTTTATGAAAATTATATGACATTGCTGATGATGGTTTAAAGTAAACCGAAACGTCCAAGAATATTATATCGACAAGTAATATAAAATTATTATGAATATATTTTAATGTATTGCACTTCAAATACCGCACTGTAAATGCTCTCATTACCCGCTAATTAATATTTATTATTATATAGAAAAAATGTTTCAGAAGTTGTATGGTTTAGATGGGGGCCACATTTCGGTCATGTTGTCTTTCTTCTAGGTAGAGGCGTCAAAAAGATATGAAGATCATCTTCACTTTTAAAAATGGAATTGTATAATTTTTTTACACAATATAATTCTTTTAAGGCTCTTGAGTGGTCGCCGCAGCTATGGAATCGTGACGTCAGAAGCGAAGAATGACACGTTAATTTATGTTGCATGCCATTTGTAAATAAAGACAATTTAGAAATCTAAATGACGAGATCGCTTCGCTTTAAAACACTTTAAACATGGACGAAAACTATCCTTTCCTTCCTTGATAGTTAGTAAATGATATTAAATGTTGCTCGCGAGCGACACAACTTCGTCGCGTACTCTATGATTTTTTTCTTACTTAAAAAAATTTCCGTACAAGAGCGTAAGATCTCGACAACCAGATAGAATTTTCACAAATATCAGAGTTTTCCGTTAACAAGTTGGGCGCCAGGCAGAGAGAGCGTACCTCTCTTTTGTTAATTTTCGCCTATTTTAAATTAATTGCTCATAATTTCAATTCGCGATAGCAACAGGGATGGATCGTTAAAAGTGAGGAAATTATCATAGGATGAGAGATATGTTGCAAGAATCACACATAAATTTATAATAAAATAGATATAAATTTGTAATATAATAACAACTGTATTTCATAAGCCTTTCTACAATTAACATCTGGCGCTTCGCTGTGTAGAGATAGGATTATTCGATAGGATCTACATCGCGGATGACAACGATACTTCAGTGTTAACACCGGGTCGACAGCCGTACTCAATCTCATTAAATCTTTACTATTAGAATGAGCACTTTCTAAGGTGATTATTGTACGACAATTAAATGCTAACAAAATCTGTCGACGACATACAAAAGCCTCTATTGCAAGATACGTTACCCAACAGGATAACTTCGACGCCAATCTAAACGATAATTCAAACACATGATACAGTTACAATAATTGGTTCAGCATGGCACAAAAGGTACAAAACAAAACAAAAAATGATTTGACTGTGGCAAGAGAGGCGAGCGCGAATCGGCAGCTAGTATTTTTTTTTCAACGACAAGACTCGGCGAATCGGCGAATGGCACGTAATGTTAATGACAGTCATTAAATCGGCCGTTTGCAATCATGCGAGTTTTCATGCACGATCCATTCAATGCTACGAATCTGATGATCGACTTTATAATTGGTGGCAGCGTTTGTCTCACTCAATTCTCGTCTCCCTTAATTCTTATCGCGACAGTCTGGTATTCTAGTATTCTTAGAGCTCACTATAATTCTTTCGACAGCGGGGAAACGTACGTCTTCTTATAGCGAGTCCTCTGATAATTTTGGACTGTTTCATACTTCGATTTTTTGTCGTATTCGGAGGCCTAGTATTGATAACCATTTTTTTTTGTTTGTGTAATTTAATGCATATACATATTAGTGAGTAGTTGCTTTAATGGATAGTTAGTGATATCTCTTATCTTTATGGATTATTGGAATTGTTTCGGCCTATTTTTGGTGAGTCCTTTTTTAGTTCTCTATGTATAGTTTTAGGCGATTCACATAATAACTTTTTCCGCCCTACTTTTAGCGTACAGTTAACATTAGAATTTTTTTCTAATATCGCATACAGTCCTATCCATAGCGCGTCTAATTTTTTTAATCGTCCGTGACGTAGTGTTATGTATTGACAGCCCACAGACTTATGTCCTTTGGTGTGTATGAGAGTCTTTGCTGCCTCCATTATTATCCGGTTTTCTCTTTCAGCAGCGCCATTTTGCTCCAGGCTGTATGGTACAATGCGTTGATGTTGAACTTCGAATTTCTTGATTAATTCTCGGATTTCTTGATTTATAAACTCTAATCCGTTGTCGGTTCTGAGTTTTTTTATTCTTTTAGGTACATGCTTTTCGATCTTTCTCAGGAAGTTTGTTGGTTTGCTTCCAATAGGCGAAAATGCGCAGTGCGCTCGCAATGCAACAGAAGTAATATTTAAGAATTAATTAATTCGTAATTGAAATCTAATACTTGTTCTACAATATAATATAAACACAAGTCGTAAACCGTAAGAAATTGGTCAATCATAGTTGAATATGAAAAAAATAATCGATTATAATTGGTTAATTTTTTACTGTTTATGGCTTGCGACCCTATTGTAGACATGAGCATAACGAAAATAAAATTCTTACGATTTTCTTTAGGAAATTGCGTAGTTTAAAAATAATAGTAACTATATTATTGATAATATTATGTTGTTTTAAATGCTTGTAGCTTCCTAAATCAGTTTTATTTATATTATTTTTTTTTCTTAGTTTTTTCATTTTAAATTAAAAATTGGGGTATATCGTAAACTGCCACACCTGTCTATAAAACAGACCATGAGTTATAATTTAATTGTTTATAATGTTGCTTTATAGTGTCAAACAGTTCTATTGGAGTTGAAGACAATCATGCATATGAAAAAATTCTTGAAAAACTATCACGTAACATATAATATTTGTATCTTGCAGAACAGCATAAAATAAATGTACATATAATTCAATAAAAACGTTTTATAACGAAGTGAAAAGATTCTGGAAAATCTTATATACATTCACTTGTAGGTACTTTCCAGTAAAAAAACTTTTCATGCATAAATATGTATAAATATGTATAAACATACATAATATGTACTATATATAAACTATATATAGTAGTAAACTATATATAAACATATATAAATATTCATAAACATGTATAATCATATATGAAATATGTCCATACATCTCTCTTATTCTTTTGTAAAATTATTTTTTTTAGTGTAATAGAAATAACAAGTTGTAATTTACAAGAAGACTTAAAAAGATTTGTATCAAGTATCTGCTACATTACAGTGTTTCTGTGCATCGGCAAGTTTACTCCATTTAATATTATTTCGTGTATCTACAATAAAGAAAATCTTTTATCTTTTTACATATGCGTTAGTGAGAGATATGTTATATAGTGAGGGATATGTATATTAAAATACTAAATTATTTAATTCTTTACCTGTTTTATGCTTAAAGTAAAAAATGTGAAGAACAAAATATGTTAACGCAGAAAATGCTGCAAATACTGAAAATATTCTTAGAGTCATTATACCTCCAAATTTTTTAAACAAGATACCACCTATCAAACTGCCAATCGAGAGTCCTGGTAACATTTTATAC